CACACACACACACACACACACATACACAAACACACGCATACAGACAGACACACACGAGAGCACAAAAGTGACTTCCTCGTGTTCCCACAACCTATTCCCACGACTTCTTTTACTGTCAACGGACCGAGTCCTGATCTTAACATAATCTTCTTTTTTCTTTTCATTTCATTCCAGGATACGTCGTTTTTAAACCGTAAAAGATGACACGAGGATAGTTTACACTCTCAAGAAGGCGAGAGTGCAAAAAGTGTCTCTGAGATTTTATTGGTTTTCAATTCACACAAGGATTTTATTCGTGAAGGATTTCTTTGGAAACACCACTGTCCACGATGGTTTGTTGTGTTGGATCATCACATTTCAAAACATAATGGATATTTTTCTGTGTCACACTAGATTCTTGGCTGTGGTAGAAGCTTCACCTTTCACAGGAAAGCTGTTTTCACACGGGAAAAGCTGACGTAAAAACAACAACAACAATAAAAACGACAACAACACAACAATACGATTCGTGATGGTGTAATTCGATTGATAGAAAAGAAAGAGACTAGATCTACGAGCTAGTCATTTCAAGCATTATTAGACGTATAAATTTGCTCTTTAAAAAAAAACCCAACCTATTTATAAACACATAAGTTTTCACCTTAAGTTTTTTTTCCCTTGTCGGCATATGTCAGGGAAATGAAAGGAAAGGAGGAAGAATTATAGCCAATAAGTGGTGGGTTTTAGTTCAATAGCTGTTTATCTAACAAAGACAAAAAGGAAAAAAAAAAGATTGTCGTGTTGTGGGTTCGCTCTTTTTGGGGGGATTCCTTTTTTTCTCTCTCGTTTTTTCCCCCCTCGGATCGCTCTTTGTTGTGTGTGCTTTACATTTCCACGCCGTGAGATGGATCACCTGCATTGCGGACGATCAGAATCCGACGAACAAGATTCCCGCTCTTTTCGCGTTCACGTCTGCTGGTCTGGTGGGCAGACGAGGAAGATGCTGCTAGTGCTGCTCCTTGTGCTGCTAATGAGTGACAGCGTCTTGGGCATCCGCTCCTTGTTACCGTTTGTGGGGGAGGAGAGGAGAGTCGGGCTACAGGACAGACCAGGTGAGTGAGAGGAGAGGGGGAATGAGAGAGAGAGAGGGAGAGAGAGAGAGAGAGAGAGAGAGAGAGAGAGAGAGAGAGAGAGAGAGAGAGAATAGACTGAGTGAACAAGAGATGCTAAAGGAAATTAAAATTAGAGCGAAATAGAGAAAGATTTATAGGGTTGTGGAGAGAGATACATATTGTGGTTAGGTAGAAAGGAGAGAAACAGAAAGGGAGGGACAAAGAAACAGATAGAGGGAGAGAGAGAGAGCGAGAAAAAAAGAAAGAGACAGAGGGTGGGAGGGAGAGAGGGAGGGAGGTGGAGAGAGAGAGAGAGAGAGAGAGAGAGAGAGAGAGAGAGAGAAGGGGAAGATGAGATCAAATAAGCACTTAAAAGACGGTGCGCGGTTTCCATGGGAAGTCACTCCTGCGTGCTCTCCCTAGGTATTTCGTAATTTCATGAGTTATGTACCTTTAATATTTCTCGATTGATTCATTTTATGACCCTTGTTCAGTTTCCTGTTTCATTACATCTAATATTCTTATCTATTATATATTATTAGAATGAATTTGATTCTAGTTTGTTTTGTTGGCATAGCTGCTAATCAGAAAATTAAAAGAGAAAAGCATTGCTTTTATTTTGTTTGGTATTTTTGTGTGTGTTCTGAGTATAATAGTCTGTTTTCGTACCGGAAAATAGATTTGTTTTGTAGTATTTTTCTGAACGGACTTTTGAACTATAAAAGACCGGATTTGGGAAAGGTAGATCTAATTAGGACAAAGCCCATGACTGTGTTATTCGGAGAGACCTTTTGCTGCTAGTCTACTTTGAGTACCTTGAACTTGTTGAAAGCAGACAAGTGTGTGTCTGTGAACGTTGAAGCTACAGCGAGCATGTAGCACATCTCTGTGGTTGTTGGTGGTTTTTTGTTGGGGGGTTTTTAATGGGGGTTTTTCAGGGGTGGGGTGCTTTTTATTTATTTATTTATTAAACGTTGTTATTATTATTATTGAGTGTGTTTGTTTATTTTAAATTATGCAACTATGGGATTGTTAGTCTTTTCGGGGAACACCTTGGGGAGGGGGG